TAGTGCAGAGAACGAGTCAACACATGAAGAAGTGTTCATGCTGAAGGCGGACCTGGACAATCCTCAAGCCACGGACGAGCAACTGCTGCAAGTCATAGATCGTGTGCATCGTAATCTAGGACATCCACCAGGACATGATTTGATTCGAATTCACATTCTCAAACATGCCCATGCCAGTGATCGAGCTATTGCCCTTGCTCGCAAGCATGATTGTGACTTGTGTAAGACACATATTCGTCCACATGTGGCACTGCCAGCCAAGACCAGCCGCGTGAGTGAGTTCAACCACACCATCGGCTTAGATGTCAAACATCTCCCTGGATGGAAGAGTAATCAGAAGATTAAAGCCTTAAACATAGTCTGCCACGGAAGTTGTTACCAGCTAATGCTCCCGTTTCATGAGACCGAAACATCAGCTGTATTGTGCAAGCTTTTCGCTGAGCATTGGATCCGTGTGTTTGGCCCACCAAAGGTCATTCTTATTGATCAAGCCCAAACCAACATGGGAGAGGCCCTTCAGGATTTCCTAGATTTGCAAGGTACTGAAGTGAAACAGATTCCTGGGACATTGGCAGTTAGGTCGAACGGAGAACCATGGTGGATGGTTTGCTCGCATCCTCACCAAAGTCCTTAGTGAACACTGTCCTGAGGACAAACACCAGTGGGAAGAGTGTGTCATCCATGCCCATGTCAAGAACAGCGTGATCCAATACTATGGTCATACACCCCACCAACATGTGTTTGGTCAGAATCCAGGAGTTCCCACCGACCTGCTCGATGAACCCTTAAGTGTGGTTCCAGCTACGGCAAGTCTGTCGGACGAGCAAGCCGCTCGTGCCCAAGCCATTCGCACGTCAGCCCGACAAGCAGTAATTGAAATGCAAGACAGCCAGTCTTTGAGACGAGCTCTTGCTGCACGTCCACGCGCTGACCTCCGTTTTGCTCCAGGATCTCTAGTTGCGTATTGGCGCAACCAGAAGTTTCAAGCCGGTGAAGGTGTTGTGACTGGTGGTCGCTGGTTTGGTGTAGCAGTCGTCATCGGGTCCATTGGTCGCAATTCTGTCATTGCACATCGACGCCAAATCTTTCGTGTGGCACCAGAACAACTTAGAATGGCAACCTCCGAGGAGTCCACACTTGTGCAGACCCCAGAGGCCGAGCTGTTGGGCATTAAGGATCTCATTGAAGGAGGCACCTTTCGTAGCCGTAACTTCATTGATTTGGTCCCCGGACACTATCCGACTAGAGATGTATCAAGCCCTTCAATTCAGGGAACAGTGTCCAATGTTCTGGCGGATCAGCCAATGCAGACCGATCAACCTGTGCCTCCGGAAGAAGTTCCGCAAATAAGTTCTCCACCACAGTCGATTGCTCAGCCAGAGACAACACACTCATCTCCGGCCGCTGAAGCTGGTCCTGCATCGGAAAATCCGGCGCCTAGTCCCTCTGAGTCTCAGGAGCCTCGACCAGACAAATCATGGGTAGAACCTGACACGAGTTATGGTCCCATGCGTTCACAAAGACATCGATTGACCTCCAAAAGTGAAGATTACCAACTGTACCGACCCTCACAAATGAAACAAGATGACTTTGTGGAGATCATGAGAGAATTGGTCCCCAAAATGATCGATCAAAGCTTGTCTAGGCCCCAGGATTCAGAAGACAGTAATCCTAGTAGCGCTAGTGGGGTGAAACGATCTGCCGAGGACGTGGAAGACGCCACCGTCGAGCCACCTGTTTCAAAGGCTAGAACAGAAGAACACCTCCAGGCTACTAGCTCTGAAATCTTGTCTGTCCAAGACATTGGCCAGTTAAGTCAATTGTGGGACACCTCCCAAAGCATTGAAGGGCTGGTCGCAGCTTACATGCAGAAACGAGCTGCCAAAGAGCTTCAGGCCTTGGGTAATCCTCCGCGTGTCCAAGAACTAGTGGATGAATCCAAATTGACAGAATGGACCATTCTCATTGAAAAGAAAGCCATCCGTGTTCATGTGGGTAAGCATGCAATATCCGGATCGCTTTATGGGAAGCCGCTTTGCGATTGTCCGCAAACCCCTTGAAGAAAATCTCCATTTGGGTGTCAACGATGCTGAGACCTTCCGGGTCAAAAGTCGTTGGTGTCTTCAAGGTCATTTTGACCCGAGAGGGCCTCCTACAGAGTCCAACCCTAAGTCAAATTGGCCGTATGATCCTCATGCAGTTGATTTCATCCTTCCAATGGGACCTTCAGTTAGGAGATATTAAAGGAGCCTTTTTGGAGGCTGGCCCACTGCCTGAACGCTTCCGGCCCCTATATGGACGCATGCCAGCTGGCGGCATCCCGACCGTGCCGGATGACGCCGTTCTGGAAGTGATTGGAAACGTGCACGGCCAGAATGACGCTCCATCGGCATGGAACCGTGCTTTCGATACTGCCGCCTGTGAGTTTGGCTGGGAACGATCCCTGTTCGATGCCTGCCTCTATTTCCTAAGGGATGAAACAGGAAAACTGTGTGGGGCCATGGGAGTACATGTTGACGATACAGCACTTGGGGGGAAAGGACAAAGATTTGAGCAAGCAGTTCATCAACTCAAACAATGAGTTCCGTATCGAAAGTGGCGTGTGCGAAATGGTGAGTTCTGTGGAGCCTTCTATGTTCAGAACCCTAAGACAAAAGGGATCTCCATGTCACAACAAACGTTTGCCGAAAACATTCGCCCTGCTCACATTGCCACAGGAGCTGACAACGAACAGTTGCTTCAAGATTCACAAATTCGGGTTCTAAGGGCCATCAACGGAAGCTTGAATTGGATTTCATCACAGTCCAGACCTGATGTCGCAGTACAAACAAGCTTGAGTCAACAAGTTTTTCCCAATCCAAAGATCAAACATCTGCGTGATGTAAATAATGCTGTAAGACGCACAAAGCAGCATAAGGATGTGAAAATCCAATTTAGGCCAATTGACCCTCATAGGTTGCGATTATGTTGTCACTCAGATGCCGCCTTTGCAAACGCTGGTTCACATACTCAGGCTGGTTACATTGTAGCCTTTGTTGATCAAGGTCTAGATTCCGGAGAAATCAGTCCATGGACCCCCTTGACTTGGAAAAGCTACAAGCTGCCTCGAGCAGTGTCATCCACCTTAGCTGGTGAGAGCCAAGCCTTGGCCACGGCATCAGGCACCGTGGAATGGGCAAATCTGATTTTGAGCGACGCTCTTGATGGCAAGTTTGAACCTCGCTTGAGCCGATCCAGATTGACCAAAAGGCGCTACTCACCACTGACTGCAAGTCATTGTATGATCATCTCACTTCGCCTTCGTCCCCCACGGCAGTAGATGATAGAAGAACCAGCATTGACATAGTCATCATTCGGGAATCGATCAAAGCCATGAATCCTTCCATTCGTTGGTTACCTACCAATCGTATGCTAGCGGATGCCCTCACCAAAGATAAAATGGACCCGGTAGATCTCCTTCGTTCCTGCCTGCGTAGTGCTACCTATCAGATATCTCCAGAAGAGCATGTATTGGCTCAGCAGGCTGCTGAACGAGAGCTTCGGATGCAGCGACGTAACCTAAACACTCAGGAGAAAAAGCATTCGAACCAAGCCGAAGTGTCCTTATCTAATTAAGGTTAAGACGCGTGCCGGAGCAATAGCTTCAGAATGCACGACCGTCAAGCAGTTAGGGGCCATTCCTTGCTATTCGAAGTGAGTTTCCTTCAGTGCACGTTTTTGTGTGAATGACTTTCCACTCCTGCAGCCTTTTTGACGTTGGTGCTCAAGAACATTGAGCCTGATCCCTCAGTATGTCGTGGACCCCAGAAGATGCCAAGCAATTGCGATCCTTGTTTCAAAAGGCTCTCCAACACGGGTTGGAACCTGTGGAAGCCTTGGGAGGCTTTCCACATGAGGATGATTTTGAGCTGGTGGGTGCAATGTCCGATGCTTCAAAACGACAGCTAGACTCACAATATCCCATTAGCAGCAAGATGAATCGCAAGAAGTCAACTTCCTCCGAACCTGATGGATCCACCGAGGGCTGCTATGTGACCAAGGCCATGGCTGGCCCCTATCCCTCTCAGTTTGAGCCAGAAGCTGAATCTCATGTCCTTCCTCCTCTTCCTCCCGGAGTGGTGAGCACTGCACAATGGTCCAAGACCAAGATCAATTTCGGCAAGTTCAAGTCTCGTGACTGGTCATATTTGGACCTCTTGCAGTCGACAGAAGAAGAGGCAAAAGGATATGTGAAATGGTGCATGGCTCGCACTCAGTCGGCAGGAGGTGATTTGAAGGACTTGTGCTCCTTCATGTATCGCTATGAGATGGAGAACTCTCATGGTCGCCTCCGTGCTGGCGAGTTGATCCCCGGCACCGGGAATCGTCGTGTCTTCAAGTGAAAAGCTCACGATGACATCGAGCTGGATGATGATGGAAAGATGCTGCATCAAGACACTTCAGAGCGAACTATAGAAGAGATTTATAAGGAGTGTTGATCGGCATGCATGAATGCCATCCTGCTCACGTGCTACTTCGCAGGGACCGCTGGCCCAAGGGAAAAGGGGCGTCTCGCGTGCCCACTCGTGTCGATAGGATTCGACCCTCTTGTTTTGACACATATATAATATATATATATATACATTTATAGTTATAGACACAGAGATGATATAAATCACAGTCGGCATTTGCAGAGCTTCTCGAGCCGCGCAAAACGTGAGCGTTTCGGGTTGGATCCAGTGAGCTGCGGCCTGATTGACTGGGTGGGCAAACTGTTCACACTCCGACTCCCAAGCAGCAAAGTGGAAAATGGACCCACTTTGAACCGTAAGACGACAAGAACAGACTTTCCTAGGCAGTTCTCCACTTCCATGTGTCGTGTCTCTCAAAGTCTACTAGTTGGTTGAGGCCGGGAATCAGTGTTTCACGGGGTGTTGAAATTCCAAACCAAAGGTGCTCGTGGCAGGGTGCACATGCTCGAATGGCCCGCGTGGCTGTGGCTGTGCTTGCGGCCCAGCCACTTTTCGTCGTCTCCCTCACAAAGGCCCAGCAAGATCACCAGGCCTGACGGTCGCTGCGTTTCTTCCACCAAGAGCCTTTCGGGTGCAGATGTTGCTGGATGATGCTGACATCCCAGTGATCATGGCATCTGAATTGAATTGCTCCGAGCCCCAGGAGTGTTTGGGCCCTTTGGATGGTTCATGGACATTGATCAAAGGCTTCTGGACTTGGGACGTCAACCGGGTCGGCCAAGACGATCTCATCTGCTTGGGCCCAGACGATCCACTGGGCTTTTTGGACCATGGTGGAGAGGGAAGCTGTTGGAAAGCTCCAGCTTCACCCCGACAGGCCCTGATGGGTAACCCAAACATGAACCCCTTGAGACGATGATGTTCCTCTACAACCCAGGTAGTGAGCTTCCACACGTGCACAGAGCAAGGGTGCACAGGGCAAAGCATGAGAAGAGTGGGGGCGAGGTCGGAAGCCTGGTGGCTAGACGTGAAGATTACTGGGGTGGGGATGAAACATGAAGCAACATGAAGCAGTTTTTGTGTGCTATTTCATAGTAACAAGAAGCTACGAACGTAACAAGACGGGCATCGCTACGAACGTAGCTCCTGGCAATACGACTAGTAACAAGAAGCTCCGAAATCCCTCTGGAAGGTCTCGGGGGTCGACTGATCAGTCGCGCCAATGGACGATCCCCACAGCCAGAAAGGAAAGCAACCGACCATTAGAAAATGGGCAGAGAAAATTGGCAGAGAAAGTCACTCATCGCTGCAATATGAATTGGGGAAAAGCCATCCATCCACCTGAACCATCTCTTTACCTCATTCTGGACCCTGTGGCCCTCCAGTTGATCTGGTCTGGCACAACCAAAGGTGTCCAGAGGTGTTGGGTTTCCGAATGCCACAGCGGTCCTGCGGTCTGTGGACGGGGCTCCACAGGCGATGCGGACATGATCTGTTTCAACAGCAATCGTGGTGTGCATTCGAAACGGCAGACCTCTCAGGCGTTCCGAACTCCCTGGGAAATAGACTCGACCAGTCTACCCAGCCAGGCTCCGGCCAGGTCCACATGACCACCAGGCTCCGGCCTTGGCGAATCCGCGAGATCTCCTTGCCCTCCACGTGCACCGAAGCGCTAGTCACACGCTGAATCACCAGCTTCATCAGGCGTCACGTTGGAGCTGAAGCCTAGAAATGGTTATGTTAATTTGACCCTGCTTGTCAAGGATTGTCATTTGCCCTCCCAAGATGACTATTGAAATTTGTTATGGGAATATATAACCTACAGGCCCTACAGGTCAGTTGGACCTCATTTTACTGGAAATTGTCATACAAAAGATTGCTCAATATGGTAAAAGGCCAGCTGTTGCTGGGTCTTTGGAACTGTAGGGATAGGAAGTTTCACCCATCAGAATTCACAAACTCCAAACCTCCTTTCTCACATTCAGGGTCCATGATGCCTTTTTCCACCATGTTCTCATGGTGACATCCGCTGCGTGTAACGGCGCCGTCAACCTCATGGCGGTCGAGGGGTTGGGTTGAAGTCGCCACGGGCAGCGTCTCGACCTCTGAGCCACGGGATCGGCGGCCGGGCTCGGAACCGACATTGAAAACCAGACGAAGAAGGCTAAGGAGAGACTAAGAGAAGCCGAATGATAATTCGGCTTATCCTAAGCATCGTATCCTCCTAAGCATCGGTAAGAAGGAGTCGAAGAAGCACCAGACGAAGGCCAACGGGGTCAAACATCCGAAATAAGTAGTTCTTTGTAGTGTTTTAAGCTGAGTCTGAGTCGATTCGGAGTCGATGAGTCGATGTTCCACATTGTTGGATGGGTCGATGAGTCGATTCAACCCCGACCTTTCCTGGATCGCCCACTCAGCGACTGTTCCACCGAACACCGAACAACCCCTTCTGAGGACAACGAAGGTTCCGCTCCCAAACTGTCGGTGACCACACACGTCTGAGTGACCACCAAGGAGTGAAACATCTGGTGGAATACTGCCAGGTACAGGCCGGCCTACCCTCACCTCAATTGATGGTAAGGACAGCATATGTTCATCATATGTTTGTCAATAGCATCCATTAACAAAAATAGGATGAAATTGTACCATTTTTTCCTGTGCTAGATTTTAATGTCTTCACTGTATTTCTTGGTTGCCACTATTCTCTCTTTCTAATCCTAAGAGCACCTGATAAGAATCCTTTTGTCAGTGGGATCCCTTAAGATTCAAGAACCCGTTATCCTTGGCGAGCCACAAATCATGGGTTCCCCGATGGGGCACAGTGGCTTGCCTGGGATTGCTTGGAGGAGTACCCCTCCTAAGTTTCCCACTTGGTTCCGGTCACTCCATCGCGCCTTGAGCTTGGCAGCTTTGGCCTTCCAGCGTTGTTCACCTTACAAACACACAGCCGTGGAGTTTTAGAAAAAGATCTATATAAAAAGAAGACGTAGATTTGGATATGCATGTAACAAATGTTGAGAGTTGAGACATGCACGGGCATAGGTATGCATTGTATGCTTCGTTCGGGACCTACCAGAAGTTTTAGTCTTGGAGTACTGATGTAGATGCAGCAAGATATGCTAGACATATAGAAATGCTTCTGTATGGATCTTTGATAACATGTTGTTGGAAGGCGAAGTAAAGATGGGCACTGCAAGCACCCGACAACCGGAGTTTGGAGAAGCTTCCTTCCAGACCCCTTGGATGCCACCTGGGCATCGGATAGGAAGCATCACTCCATCCACAGGGATCGTCCACGTCCAAAGAAAGACAGCAAGTTCTTAATTTGTTACAGTAGTCTGAACAAAGTGCGCCGACTCGCTGACAGGCTGCCTGGATGGATTGATCAGCAGTTTGACAAAGCGGACCATGAAAAGGGAGCCACGGTTGGAAGGGGAACCGCGGAAAGCCCCAGTCAATCCGGATAGACTGTGAAACCAATTCTATCCGTTTGAGGACCACGCAATTCTCCAACCCACGCGACCGCGACTAGGCTTCATTGAAACCAGGAGACGCTTCACGGCCTCCTCGAGCTCCATGTGAAGCCTCTCAAGGAAATGAGACGGGCTGAAGTCATCAACTTGAGGCTATACAAGCTCGAAGTTGGGTTTAAGGTTGACTGTAGTGCAAGGTCTTAAGGCTTTAAGGTCTCAGGCAGTGTTCAACCGCACCAACAGGTCCTCCCTCACCTCAAGAAAGGAGGGTCTGGAAGGGGCGAAACCTTGCGCGAAACTTCTAGCAATTTCCAACTGATGATCAACCAAGGTGATTGGGGATTTATCACAGGGGTGCCCCATGGTCATGCCCCGATCAACCAAAGGGGTGAATTGGGGATCCCTGGATCCCGTCGTTGGACTACGATCCCCTCAAGAGACCCAGGGATCCAGGCTTTGTTTCTTTTGCCTGGATTATAAAGGTTTTTGCTGCCCTCCCCAAAACGGCTTTTTGAGGTTCATGTTGTATTCAGTCTATCTGTACAGACAAATATTGACTTTAGAGAGAGAGAGAGAGAGAATAACAGAAGGCACGAAACCGTTTCACCATCTTTCCCTCTGCCCGGCCTTTCGATGAGGTCTTTCAAGGCCTGGTTCTCTCGATGGAGCTCCCACGCATCTGCAGGCGCCTCCGTTTGTTTGTCGCATCGGTGCGGTGGGTGTTCGAAAGTCAGCGCTTTCCCCCGGCGATCAAAAGGAGATCCAATGAGATCCAACGATGCGGTATTTGTTTGCGTAGGACACAGAATTTGGAGGCATCCAATTCACACCGAAAACGAAACTAAAAAGATCTAAAAAGGCCGGAAGGGGATGTTCGCACCGGAAAAAAAAAGAGAGCTTTGCTCTTCCAAAAGGCCAGTGGGGTGACTCACAAAACATCCGCCGACGCCGAGTGAGGTTTTTGGATCAAGAAGGCCCCCACGACATTTTGGAGGGGAGATGGCAAATGGAGCATGCATGCACTTCTTCTGTCATACACAAGATGGCTGCCACGCACGCGCTGGGCGATGGGCGGAGCCCTTGCGTCCTACAAATCCTACAGGCCTGGCCTTTTCAGAAAGGCTATTAGCTCACATCCCTCCTCCAATCCCGCCACTCCCCCGCTCACGCCTCGACGCGCAGCGTGGGCTCGGAGGAGCGGCCTAAGGGGCGAGCGGCGAGTACGGCGCGCCATAGGGACGAGCGCCGTCAACGGCGAACGGGAGGCGAAAGAACGACCATCGGTGGATGGTTCTTGGAACGTGGTTGGTTCTTGGAACGTGGATTGTTAAAGAAGCTAACCATGTCGAGATGTCAAGATGTTGGTCCACCTCCCTCTACATCTTGTGTTTGATACTGCATGGCTCGGTCTGGGATCGGTGGCAAAACCAGAGCAGATCGATCCCCGTTCTGCCTGGGATCGGGGTGTCAACCTAAAGATCCATGGTTGTTTCGCGGTTCTGTCTTCATGAATTCGCAGGAGAAAAACCGATGGTCCTCGGACCCAACAAGAACAGAAGAAAGCAGAAGACAACCTGATCTGCCAAGAGTTTCATGAAGTTGAGTATTTTGGCTCGACACATCCACCAGCACCTTCAAAGGGGTCCCGGGGTCACCTGGTTTCGCCCCAGCCCACTACTAAGGGACCTCCAGACAGGACACCCCTTGAAGGTCCAGGCAGTTTCATGAAAGTTCTGTTTCCTTCTTGCACCCTAAGATTTTCGTGTCACTGTACCTAGGCAACTGTAGGCAACTGTAGGCAACCGTCGCATCGGTCGCACCGTTCTCCGTCCCTTTTTTGGGCTCAAAAAGATCTTCCTCGGCACAGTACGAGTGCAGAGCGAAAGCTTCGGTTTCGGAACAGATGAACTCTGAAACCACAGATAAGTTGAAGCTTACCTTCGGTTTCAACAGATGAGTTGAAAATAATTTTAAGTTGATAAGGTTGAGTTTCAACTCATCTGTTCACAAACCCAGTACGTCCGTAGGCCACAGGAACAGAATGGAGAAGAGGCTTCTTGAGCCAAGTCACCCAAGTAGAAACCACAGATCCGGCCGTCACCTTAACCACGATGCAAATAGCCCACACATAAATCACATACACAACCTTGAACCGGTTTGGAGCCCCACTGGCGCGCAAGCTGCCTGGACACGATCGTGGCACAGGGTTTCCCGCCCAGGGACGAGCCTCAACCAGCCATAGCCATTGGCCTATGATGCCTATGATGCCTATGATGTTTGACGTGTAGTTGCTTGTTTTTTAGGGCGTCAAAACCCTAACCCTCAAAAAAGACCGTAGAAACCTTAGGATTTGGTCACTCTACTGAGGTTGGACACTGTCCCTGTCTCGAATCAGGGACGCGATCTCCCGTCCATGACCGCATGGTAGACACCACAAACCAAAGTGTTTTACCGGGACCTCCCTTTATTCCCTATTTCCTGATTACACTACAACACCTCATGCCTAAAGATGTGGTCGCCCAGCTGACTATAGGGTTGAAATGACTGAAGCCCCGCATCTGGGCCCCCAGCACTGGGCCCCAGCGCTGCCGGAAAGTCCACAATCAAACCATAGGCCACGAAGTGCCCCCCCTTCCAAAATCATCTGTTGATCTCTTTTCATCTCACAACCACTGGGAGCTCTCAAACCCGATTCATGTCATCCACGAGCGTCCCCCAGAAATTCTTCCCCTCACCGTGGAACTGGAGCTGCAACAACGAATATTCTCCATCAACGTGGTGTGGAACTATTCGTGCCGTTGTCGGCTCACAACTGGGCCCACCTGGAGTGCGTTCCTCTCGTGGCGCTGGCATTGCAGGTATCGAAGGAGCCTGGAGAAGGCGGGCCTGGGTGTCTTGCTATTCGACAGGATTTGGGTCATTTCGCCTTTCAAAGAGATGGGTTTCAGGATGAAATGCAGAATGGCCAAGTGTTATCTGTCCGATCACGTGCCCCAAAAAAAACCATGTCCGATGTCTAGGACCTTCCGCATGTGACGGCTGAGCGCCACCCAAAGGAGCCACCCTTTTCTTCCAAACCCACTGCAGCTCCAGTCCTTGAAAGAGCAACTCCCTTCACCCCGTCCCAACGTGACCCGTCGAGTCGGCGGCACTCGCTGCACGCGGGTGGGTCGGTCGCCTGCGGAGCCTGACTCAGCAAGGAGTCATAAGCACCTTTGACCTGACGAAGCGGTGAAAATGATGCAGATGAATTTCGGGAAGAAGGAGTAGGTGCAAAGAGGAACAGTATAGGTTTATTGGGAAGGAGAAATGGGTAAGGGTAGGAGATGTGAAATACCAGGAGTTCCATTTCCATGTCGGGGCGCTATACCGTTAAACAGGTCCTTGTATACTGGATGCCCAAGTAAAAAAGAAATAGTTCGAGAAGTGTGAACAGATTTCGATCTTTCCCAAAACCTCATCAGGCCAGTCTTGTTGCCCTGCTTGGCCCCTCCTTGCCAGGGCCGCCCGACATTTCCTAGACGTGGAATCCGTCCGTTGCGGCTGGGCCTGTAGTGACTTTGAGGTGACTTTGGTGGTTTGCAAACATCCTATATATCTTGAATCCTCAAACTGCAAGCTCAGGTGCCCAAACATAATTGCATCAGTAGGGTTCGGTAGACTTTGGTAGGCTTGCTTGCCAGACTGGTGCGATTCGTCGGATGACAGAATGGATCCAAAGGTATCTTCAAAACCTGTCCTCATTCCCGAGCTTTGTTGCACCAGTCAGAGAAGTGATCGAAAAAAGAAACAGCCTTCTACCCGGAAGCCAACCCCCAAACAACCACAAGGCCGACTCCTCACGCACTTCAACCTTCGCCCCACGGGCCCGCGGGCCCCACCGGACCCGGAGAAACCGACCTCCGCCAACCCCAGGCCTTGCGGAGCAAGGGCCCAAAGACTCGGTCGCGTTCGATGACCTACGGACGACGACCCCGGAGCTCGGTCCGACCGAGGTGTTGGGGGGCGGGGGCGCGGGCGGCGCGGGTGAGCGGACCTGAGCAGGAGGGCGAAGTTGGGGGGGAGCCGGTTGGTTGCAGTAAGAGCCGGTCCGGGCGGTCCAATACGCAGGGTTTGTGCAAGGCTCGAGCCTCGGTGGAGGGCGAGAAGGCGGATCACTTGGCGAAATGGTCCTGCTGGAACATGCGTAAGGTAGTGGAGATATGTTTGAGATACGGACAGCTGAATCTGAACTGCTGCCCTTTTCAAGAACACAAAGAAAATTGTGTTCAATGTCTTTCACAACAACACTCTCGGACTAGGCTTCCCCGATTTGGGCGTGGCCACACAGTCCATCCCTGCCACAGGGCACCTCCTCAAAAAGATCGCTGTAAATCTTCAACTGCGACTCCCCCTCCTCAGTCGGAGCACCTGGCAAGGTGTTGTTTTTCCGTGTTCGCTAAGGCGGCTGGAAACCAAATCACACCCCTGCAGAGCAAAAACTTTGAGGGCAAGATGTGGAGAAAACGTTGGAAAAGTCGGTCGCACCCCCCCGCAACTTGGGGAATCGAAAAAAAAAAAAAAAAAAACAAAACCTTTCCCACCACACCGTCACCACTCCGGAAGAGGCATTTCTATTCAGGATCCTTTCAAGAGATGTAAGACATGCAACTGAATGGTATCAAGAGTTCTGCATGAAAGGACGACAAATCTGCGTGTGATCCACCACTTGTGCCAGGGAGGTCGTTGTACGGGTGAGAAATGGAACAGTCCAAACTTGTCACTTGAAATGACCTGCTTGTCTTGGTCGCTCACCGTGGGGCATGGTCACTCACATGTGGCTGTAGACGGTTGATTGATCAAACCCCGGAAACCCAGAGTCAGAATGGTCTTACATCTCCATATGAAGGGTCGTCATCCACAGTCCACATTAGCGGTATGTGTCAGATTTTGTTTCTCCAATGGTTCTCTCTCAGGTGAAACGTAATGACGAGCTGTTATGTCCGTGCCTCCCGGCACTTGTCACCGTCACAACTCCCAATGAGTGGGTCTGATGATCCGCTGGGTGTGACGAAAAGGCCTCTAGACAGGCCTCAACCAATTGGTCGAAGTAGCTTTAAAAATGTCAAAGTGGTCCTAATTAGACTCAGAGCCAAAAAATGAATTTATCTTGCGTGCACTCGCCGCGCTTGAACTCCAGCTCCTGGAAAAGTTCGGCAATTGAGAGGAGGACAAAAAATGTATCTAGTTAAAAAGAAGCGCACCCAGCATTAAGATCTGAGGAGTTTCGTTCAAGTCGAGTTTCCAACTCTCGCCAGCTATTCCAGAGACTCCTGAACTTTCTTTTGGATCGTGGCAGTGCTGCCATGGGCCCACAAAAGACTGATGTTTGAGTCCACCTTCGGCTCCTGCCAACTGAGGTTTTGCTGGTGAAAGGTAGTTAAGGTCTTTCATATTGGTCAATAAAACGATCCATGGTCTGCATATGCACATGAAAAGGTGGGTCATGTGAACGGCGAACTGTGGGGATTCTTCATCAGGCAGAAAAGGAATATTGGGCATCAAACAATGTCCGTGGCTGTAATCTGCAGTGCAAACAATCACACACAAGCGAGTTGGCATTGGCACATTTCTGTTGGCTGTCCTCGTCTCTCTCCAACTTCATCCCCTGCTTTGCCTCTTGACGCTGGCGGTAGTAGAACATTTTTTTATCCTTCTCTGTGCAGATGTGGCAAAATCTGCATTTGTTTCCAAAATGGCATCCTCCACCTGGACGTTGCCAAAACCGGCAGGGTGTGCATGCACCTTGCTCATGAAGCTCAGCTTGCGCATTTGATGCCATTTGGCACCCCACAAAACAAGAAGTTCTTTAAAAAGGGGAGGTCGCGAGACAACAAGTCTGATTGTTGGTCACGCTTGATCCGCTGAAGGAGGCGAATCATGCGCGGTCAAGCCGTTGCAAACAAGAAAAGCAGTCCAAGCACTTGCATCACGGTCCTTTTTACGGACTTGCATGTTGCTTGAGTTCGCTAGTCACGTGTGCGTGTGTATTAAATATATATATATATATATTTATTATATAATATATATATATATATGTCAAACCCCGTGGCTTTACGCGCAGGGTGTCCAGGCAATTGCCCCTGGACCAACGAAGACGGACTCACAACTGGTGAAGCGAGAAGGGGCCCTTCGGCCGTGTACCTGCCTGCGGCCGAGGTGCCATGCAGGATCACAGCCAACAAAGAATGCACGGAGCAGTAACCAATCCGGGTGATATGTGAAGGGACCGAAGGGAAGCAAGCTCCTAATTTGGGGGGATTTCCCGAGTTACCGCCGAGAGTGATACGGAGAAGCAGGAGCCAGTGTCGGCACAGGATTGACAGAAGTGACAGAGCCACAGAAACCACTGAACCTGCCCATTTATTTCCTCCTGCAATGAAGTAAAACATATGTTTTGCACTGAGAACGTCAAAGGAAAAGGAGACGAGCCATGGGACCCAAGGTCCTTTCGTCTTCTCTGAGGATAGGCATTCTGCTTGGGTCACAAAAAACAAATCCCGAGCAAAACCCACAGTCATACGACGTTGGCACTTTGCAAGCCGGTCAAGGGCATGGAGCCTCTGATTTCGAAGGTCAGCCCCAAAAACCAAACTGAAGCGAGGATAATGTTGCTTGATATCCTCAAGATGTTGTTGAGTTGGCTCAAAAAGGCCTGAATAAAAACATGTTCGGGCTGCGCAACAACTACTTATTGAGACTGACAAGTTCAGGGATTGCAACAAGCAATTTGTTTCCCGTGCAAAGGGATCCGGGAGGAACAGTTGCACTTGTAGGAACTTGGAAAAATGAGGAAACACCGCGCCGTCTTCGAAGGCATTATGATTGTGGTTTGGCAATACTGCCGAGAAACGTTGGCGCAAAGTCGCGAGTGTGTGAACTTGACTAGCTATCGCTGCCTTTAGGGCGTGCTCCGGTGGAGGTGATGTGACTCCCAAAATCTTTGGCACAACATTTTCTCACCTGTCAGCCTCAGAGTTTCCATGAGTCCAGTGAAGGGAGCTGTACCTGCGGTCTCCAGATTTGCATTTTGATGATGTAAGCCGTAAGCTATACTGTTGCTGATTTTTCCAGGTTGTGCACTGTATCAACGTGTGGAACATCTCTTGCCGGAGGAATCCGCCGGTGGAAAGCACTTGGTGAAGTGGTGACCCTAGTCCCTTTCCCTGGGCAGTTGGTGTCTGAGAGGCGACCCGTCGGTGGTTTTTCCAACAGCACTTTGACCTGGGTGGCATTTGGCGAAACCTGGCAGTAGGCATCTTAGCAGGGTCACTGGGTGCACTCTGAACATGCTTGAGCTTAAAAATTGCCCCTCCCAACCGTCTCCCCCTTTCATCCATCTCTTTTGCTCATCGCGGCGAGGCTCCCAGCCACGTCGAGGGGCCTGTTTCGACCGTACGGACAGCAGGGGCGTTGCCCCACCACTCACGGGGAGGCGCTGAGGAGCGTTCCGGGCGGTCCAGAACCGTGGTGGACACCCTCCCCACGCGACGGTGCGAGCGCGAGCGCGAGCGCCGGGTTCCCCACAAAGCAGGCTCGTAGTCCTCGGAGAGTCACGGAAAGCCGTCGTTTTGGGACGAAAACCCAAGAGCAAAAGAAGAAAGGTCTGCATTCATGGTGTGCAACGGCCAGGGAAAACATCCCAACCGCAAATATCTAAACATCATCTAAGTCTCGTAGACAGGTGGAAGGCCATGCGGAGGCACATGATGTGGTATCCCATGCGGCGGTACATGCATGAGGCCTGGACTACCCATTGGTGGACCGTGCGCTGAGCCGACTGGTGGTGGAGCCCAGTAGATGGGATGCGGCAGCACAGGCGCATGTGCTACTGCGGGATACGTGACGGAGGCCAGCGGATGCGGCGCGGCATGCGGCGCAGCATGCGGCGCGGCATGCGGCGCAGCATGCGGCGAGGCACGCGGCGGGCGGCGCTTGGGGTTGCTGGTCTCCTGAGTGGTGAAATTCCGAAACCATCCAACACATCCTGTCTCTGCTTGAACCCAAGCCTTTCAGAACAAGAGTGCCAACGACACATCAGCTCACCGTCTCACCTTTCAAAGGAGTTCTACACTTCCACAGTTCATGAACAAGTTCTGCTGCGAACAAGAAAGAACAGTAGCCTCCGTGCTTGCTTCGGAAACAGTAGATCCAACACCCCAAGTGAACCAATTCCTTTTTTCGTTGTTTGGCATCTCTCGGCACTGGAGTTTTACTGCGGCAGCCCCTGGATGGCTGGGGCAGCTGGATGGTCCTTGCTGTCGTCGATGTACCCCTCCGGGTTTTGCTCGTACACTTGGGCATCCTGGACGTTCGGCTCGTCTCGTCAAACCCCGTCGACTCCCGGGGACCCAGGAATCCACCCCCCCCCTTTCACTCGACTCGTCGGGAATCAGCGGGCGACGGTTCCGTATGATCAAAGGCTGGTGGCGTCAGACACGGCGAGGTCCAGGGTTAGGGCTGGTGGGAGAGAAGTAAGAACCCCTACTAGACCATCTGGGAAAAAACACATCTAGCGCTGGCTGAGGTAGCTGGAAGTTCCGTTTGCAATGGGATTCCGAGTGTTCTGATTCGAGTTGTGCACCTCTTTACACCTCTTTGCGTTGGTGAGTGCCTCGAACCTTGTTGATCACTTCCCTCGATCAGACCGCAGCCCAGGCACCACTAGCTCACACAGCTGTCTTCCCACATCATTGGGCAACTCCTGGAAGCATTATCAACGTTCAGGCCATGCGTAACACTTAATACTTAACTTAAGACTCTTGGACTCCTTGCTTGGAAAGCACTGAAAGAAGCACTATCCCCAACCAATCATTCCTCGCGAACGCAAAAAGGTCCAAGCAAATGAGAGGACGTGGCTGACCCCCCCCCACTATAGATAAACCATGGGGGTCGCCAGCCTAGGACCGTTTTCTCTCGCCACCCTCGTTCCTTGTGTCCCATCGTCCCATTGAGTCGGGAAATCACTCATGGAGTGCTTGCCAGTTTGCTCACCACGGCCGCAGACTTCTGTGACCATCGATTGCCCAAGTTTTTCGGCGTGGTCGAAGTGGCCATCGTGATCATCCTACTTCGGTCCCAGAAAAAACTGAACAAATGGTGCTTGGAAGTGATTTTTCGCTGGGATGCCTGGAACAAAACCATGAGAGGGCCTACATGTGGACGGGTGAGTGAAGTTAGAGAAGGTGTGGTGTGTGTGATGTTTGTTTTGATGTCACGGACTGCTGCTAAATTTGTTGATGTGTGCTCTGAATTTCACCAGAATACACACGGTTCCCTGGAGATGGTTCCAACACACTTCCCGATGGTTCGATGTCACAGATTCCCAATCCTCGCTGTTTTCCAAGAGCGAAGATGAGCCCGTACCACACCAAGTCATGAAACTTGTCATGACTTGTTGGTCATTGGCATTGGTTTCCGACCCATGTCTGCCAATGATCCTCAGATGTAGGAACAACCTGCTTCTTCCGCCGCCTGTCCGAGGTTTCATAGGTGTTCGACCCTAAGGACTTCATCCTCCCAAACCACGCATGTGTAACGTGCAGGCTCTTCCCTCCTGCCCGTCACGCGAGACCTTCACCGACTTGTTCTCGTTCCAGGCCTAGCTCTGAAACACCGCTCGTGAGGATGAAGCATTGACTCACGGCTTGGCTGAACTGACCCATCTGAATGGGACGAATCCATGATCTTGTTTTATCCGTATATAGAGTATATAGCATGTGTCTGTATATATATATATATGTATATGCGCACGCACAAAAAGAAACAAAAAGACGAAGACATGAGAAAGAGACATGACAACACAAGACAAGTGTGTGAGTGTGTGACTGCGATGAAGGGGAAACCAAGTGCATAGGGACAACCGGTGAGCCATACCTCCTTATCAAGACCTGGGCGACCTTAAACCTGGGTTGAATGTAAACGTGCGCGTGTGTGCTAAGGGCCGGACCGATGCGCACACAAAAGAAGAAAAGGAGTGAGATGACAGGACATGAAGGCGTGAAAGACATGAAACGAAAAAGGGAAAGATACAGCCCTTGACACAGCAGAACCTGAAGAGTGTAAATACCCCTACCAGCACCGAGCACCGGCACGCCAGCTCACGGCACCCAGCACCAGCACCCAGCACCCAGCACCAACACCCGGCACCGCGTGCACAGCGAGCACCCAGCACCTCCGCTGCCAGCTCACAGCACCCAGCACCAGCAGCACCGGCGCCCGCTGTCTCCACCACGCGCACTGCCGGCGCCCAGCACCGGCACCCTGTCTCCACCACGTGCACAGGCAGCTCACCGGCACCGGCAGAGCGCCCCACAGCCAGCACAAAGCACCGGCGCCCGGCACCCTGTCTCCACGCGCACAGCCAACACCCAGCACAAGCGCCGGCACCCTCTCCACACAGCCAGCTCACAGCACCAACGCCAGCACCGGCGCCCGGTACCCAGCACCGGCACCCTGTCTCCACCACGCGCACAGCCAGCACACAGCACCAGCACCAGCACCGCGTGCATCTCCCGCCCCTTGTGCGAGGACTCCATGTACGTCCAGGTCTGCTGCTTACCCGTCTCGCGTTCGTGCATGGCTCTGTTGTTTCTGAGCCCGTGGCAAGTCCGTGCCGGTGGGCACTATGTCCACCCAAGCGTCGGCTTGAGTGGGATCTGCCTGCCACGAAATACTCTTTCTCTGGGCTGACTTGTTTCCACACACCCTCCAAATCTCCTCGCCTCCAGCGCCGTCAAGCACTCTTGTAGCACTTTCTCGCCGCGCCGCACGGCGTACGTCTCCCTGTGTAGATGCTCCGCCACGGCGGCGACCACTCTTTGCAGCCTCTCCCCGACCTGCAAGAGCAAATGTTTTTGCGCGGCACACCTGCAGGTGTGCACATGACGCATCCATGGCGTCCCCCTATTTGTTAAAACAGAACTCTCCCGCAGAAGGTTTCTGTCGCAGCGGCTGTCGTTCCCCCGTCGCGACGAGTGCGACTCCTGGCCTCGACGACCCCCGCCCGCACAAGGACACCCACTGCTTGTACCAGGCCGCGCCGGCTTACCGGACACGACCTTCGGCACAGGAAGCAGCGGCATCCCTGTTCCCAGGCGCGCCGGTCGTGCGGGAGCGGCCCACGCCGCACCGGGTCGTGCCGTTGCGCCTATGTCGCGCCTCTGTGCCTCTGTCCATGCCCTCCGGTCTCCGGCCTCAAACCCCTCTCAGTGTAGGGGTAGTAAACCCCGGCTAGCGGCTAGCGGGGACCCTGGGCTGTGTTCCTCGTCGCCCATGTCGCGCTGAACCTCGGGAGTTCTTGCAACAGAATCCCCTATGACAAGACAGTGGACAAAGCACGCAGCGTTTTTCTACCGACCGGATTTCTTCCACACACACTCCACAAGGGTGTAGCTGCTGAGCTTACAGGGTCAGCGTTTGATACTCGGCTGTTGATCCCTGTTTTCTTTGCCTTCTTATTGGTAACTGTGTCCGGCTTGTCTGCTTTGTGTCTCTTGCCTCCCTTCTTGTCTGCGCTGCAACTCAGAGGTGGGAGATAAGTGGAAAGGTTGCAGGGGGAGGTTTGCGCCCCGCCACAAGAAGGAAAACGAGAAGAAAGACAAAAGGAAACTGAAGGGAGACGAGCCGGACACAGTGACCAACAAGGAGGAGACAAGATCGGAGACAAAGGGAGAGAAGAAGATGAGGCGACATTCACACGAATGCAACATGTTTCAAACCGCGTTCATTTTCGTGTCGCTCAAAAAGAACATCGAACATCGTGCCCTGCAATGTGATTGCGCACCTTCACTCGACCCGTGAGCGCGCAAAAGTGGGTACGCGAACCGACAACGCAAGTCGCCTTGGCGCGCACTTTTGGGTTGCAGCTTCACCCGTCGCTTTTGCGCAGCTTCAATCGCAGGAAACCAAGTCTGCCAGCGTTGCGCTGCCGTTGCATCTGCGCATCTACGTCTACACACCCTCACCTCTGTACATTTACATCGTCACACGCTCACATCCGCAGATCTACCTCTCTACCTCACGCCCACACATCTGTACATCTATATCACACCTGCACATCCACACTGTCACTCCTTCGCATCCGCCCTCTCTTTCTCTCTTTCTACATATCTTTTCTCTTGATATTTTAAATCCAATTTCTTGGTAACTTCTTACTCAATAACAGATTGTATAAAGAAGTCATGGCTCTTGGGCAACTCGATTTTAATTTCCTTACTTGGAACTGCTTGACATTCACCTTTCTCGCTCTCGGGCCAACCGTCGTCTAGTTTAATTGGTACACTTTTCGAGCGCGCATGTGTGTGTGTCACACTCTGTTTCTAAGAGTTTTCTGCAAGCAGGGGGGCAGTGGTCCTTTCAGCAGTCGCTGCCTAACAAAGACACTGCTGATCGGATGTGATATGACTTTGGGACGCCAAAGCCACGTACCTGCACCAGTTTGGAACTTTTGCACACGCTGTCTACTCCCTTGGTTTGTTTCCATGGTCCTTGCGACGATAGATTTGTGAACCCGAACTCAACACGCAGAGCCAAAATCCTTGAAAAAACAAAAACAAATCAAAAAATAAACAAATAGGGAAAACAAATCCACACTCAGGAGAACAGGTCTACCTAGGACAGGACCCAAAGAAACACAAAACAAGACTCAAATCCAGACTCAAACCCAGACTCAAATCCAGACCCAAAAAAACAGACTGACTCAAATCCAGACTCAAATTCTTTGTTGCTGAGTCCGGATATTTTTCCTCTGTTCAACCTTCTGCCATCGTGAAATTCCATGCGAGTCTTTCTTCTGATTTCTATATATTTCTATGCGGATTACTTGTTTAGTCTGGTGTTGGTTTCAAGTGCTTGAGACCCAGTTTGAGTTTGGTGTTGAGTCACCTGCTGCTTTCTGGGGGCTAGGCTAGGGTGGGCTGGAACCTGCGTTTTCCCTCAGAAAAAAACAAATCCAGACTCAAATCTAGAGTCAAACCCAGACTCAGATCCAGACTCAAAAAAACTGACTGACTCAAACCCAGACTCCAACCCAGACTCAAATCCAGACCCAAATCTAGACTCAAATCCAGACTCAAATCCTCTGTTGCTGAGTCCGGATTTGTTTTTTTTCCTCCGTTCAACCTGTCGAGTGTGTTTTTGTGTTTGGTCTTGAGTTCTGGTTTTGGGCTGAGTCTAGGTTTGTTTTTTGTGTGTGTTTCTATTTTGAGTATTTTTTTGTGTTTTGAATTTTTCATCTCAAACATCTTCTGTGTGTGTGTTCGGGGTCACAATGATAGATCCCTAAACCTCTTTTCCCACGGCTGACTTGCAGCCGCGTCGTCGCTGAGCGCTTCCGCAGTCAAGTGAGAACGCCACTGTTCAAACATTCTGTTTCAGCTGGCTCCGCCACCTTTCCGTTTTCTCACTCATTTCGACGTGGAACAGATGTAACTGCAAACCCATTGTCTAAGTGTGTGAAAAGCATCAGCACCAAGTGTATGCATTTAATGAAACTTCGTACACTTCGGGTGTGTGCATCGAACCCCAGACATCGTCAGCAAGCGTTTCGCGTTTACTGCAACGCACAAGTGTTCATGATTAGACACGGCTTAGTGAAATCGACAATTTCACGCAATTCATGTTGGCGCCAAAAGCACCACACAAATTCTAAATTGTGTACCAAACTTTCTTCTTGGTAAACTGAAAGCTTGACTAGTGTGACTTGGCCTTCTTGAATGTGTATGCGTTGCTACATTGTTGTGGTGTCACGCCTTGTTATTTACATTGTAAGCGCAGGGTCTAAAAAGGAGTCGAAGAGATAAGCAATGCCTGTTGCTTTACTCAACCCAACTTGTTGCTATCAACAGCCATCGACAAGTCAGCAACAAACAGCCATGGAACCGCGGACAGCGACGCATTTTTCCGAAGGGATGGCTCCTCCTCCAGAAGGTCATTCACACTCGGAGAGCGCCTGGCGTGACGCATAAATACAACAAGAAGAAAATCATATGTGGCACAAACGCCCCTGCAGCCTCCGAGCTGGTGGATGGACAGGTTGTTGGCTGACCTCTGAGGCGGCATCGTCATCAACCTCACGACAGAAGCCCGACGGCTCACTGGCGGCAGACCGTAAAATCTTCGAGGGCTCGGCCGATTCTTCGCCCGCGGAATCTGCCTGCGACGCACACTAGAGCGACTTGAACGAACGTGTCACGCCCCCCCCTCGCAACATCCTAGCCTCTTCTTCTTCTTCTTCTTCTTCTTCTTCTTCTTCTTCTTTTTCGTCTTCTTCAACTTCCAAGTCTGGGGTGTCCTAACGCAGCTGCGAAGATCTAGCCCGCAATCCGACAAGAACCTTAGGATCGAACCGCTTCCTCCAGGTCGTCGCCAATGTCGAACATTTCCTTGGCGGGCGCCCGCGCGACAGGAGCAGCACATGTTTGCGTCGAAGCAAATGAAACCATGAGCGCCTGGCGCCATACAGGCCGTCCTGGAAGCCAATGTCCCCATCATAGTCTCCTCCATAGACCTTTGACGCGCTAGCCGCAAAAGGAACGGCAATCCAAAAACATTCAAGCGCCCGACGTCCAAAGAAGGGGAGCTCTCCTGCCGTTCTGCGGATGTCAACGGTCATGAACTGTGACGGAGAATGCAAAGGAAACTTATGGGGGGTATCTTGTGGGAACCCCTGCCACCACCCAGCCTGGAATAGTAAAAAGCTATTCGGACCCACTTGCACATTGTTTATTGAAATTATCGCGGGTACCCTGGCACATCCTGGAATAAATTTGACTGTCACATAGAAAGGAATGTAAAAACAACACTATACATATTGAGTTCTGCACCACCTATATTTTAATCTTCTGTGGGCTGTTGAGATCTGAGCCCACCCGTGGAATATTTTTTGAGGTCCGTGCGCATTTGAAATCAAATGAACTCTCTTTTATCGAATGGAAACGAATCGGAACAAAGCGGCGCAGGTCTCAGTAAGCCAACCCCTCATCAACTTTCATAGGCACTATTTGCAAAATTATTCCAAAATTACCCCACACATGACCCTGGGTCCCTCAAGGACCCACCTGCTCACAGAACCCAACCACAACCAAAACGGCCAGGTTGTCCGTTCATACATCAACAAGTATAATTGTCAATGTGTGTATGTGTTGTTTGTTAATCCTACCTAAGTGTTTGAACCGAGCGCCAAACCTAGCGCGACCCTGCGTTTGGCTAGCGTGACAAGGCAGCGTCCCCAAGATAAGCAATAGAATACCACGCAGTGGCCAAGCTATTTCTGAACCTTTGGGAATCTTTCTTACTTAATACATGTTGGTGTCTATTTCTATTGAAGTCTCTTACAAATGCAAACGCAAGAGATTTAGCAAGCTCCTATCAAGTCCCTTGCAAGTGCTATCCTTTATCTAACACATTCCGCGTGTCATACCTGGAGACGACGAGAGCGCGGCATTCGCCTCGAAGTTCGATTTGTTGACCGCCCTCCCCCTCCCTCGGCAGGTTGGATCCCGCCCTGCTCGGCTGTTTTCGCGCCTTGCCTCCTGGGCGCAGTATGTGCCCCCTGCCTTTGCTTTGCTTCCGTTTGTCAAAATTTTGCGTTTCCCTCCTCCTATGGCCCCTGCGCCACCGCAAGGTCTTCCTACCTCGTCTTTGGTGCCTGTTGTCGTTTCCGTTTCGGGGGCGCACCCGCCCGACCGACCCAGCGCGACCCAAACCCGGCAAAGGTTCCGAAGGCGAGCGCCCTGCTTGCAAACCTCGCTCGGGCCAGTTCTCGTCTGAGCCCCGTTTTCGCCCGAAAGTCCCTTGGCCTGATCGCCGCCCATAGGGCCACGGCCAAACAGGTACGAAGGAACAAAGCCACCTTGAAAACGGACCCCTGTTGCAGTGTCAAACTTCTGGATCGAAGCTTCGCGCTCGAAACTTCCTGCTTTTGATGGTGTTTCTCTCAACTCCCGGCGCCCCGTTCGCAAGATCGAATTCCCATTGCCTGCCTCGTGGAAAGCTGGTCGGGGAAAAGTTGCCCGCCTTGGCGCCCTGCCTACGAAATCCTTCCACTACGACTTTTTGTCGGACCCGTTTTTTGCGAATTCGCGGTCGCCGACCCTATAGCCTTGAGCGACAAACGCCTCGAGGAACAAAAGACATCTAAAACGTAGACCCGGCGCAAGCAAAGATCTTCGACACGCGCGGTGTCAATAGCAAAGTTTTCTCACTTACTGTTTTCGTGGCTTCGCCGCCCCGTGCCAAAAAGAATGTCCTGGAAAAAATTCGCGAGAGTTTCCCCCTTCACGCAAGCTCAAGTTTTTGTTGGCTTTCGTCCACATTCTCTCAAGCGCCAACCGCCTACAGACACAAGACACGTTTAAAACGTAGACCCGTTGCAGCCAAAAGTCTTCGGAACGCACGGCTTCAAGCCACTGCGAACTCGCGGTCGCCGCCCCTATAGCCTCCAACGACAAAACGCCTAGAGGAACAAAAGACATCTAAAACGTAGACCAATTGCAAGCAAAAATCTTCGACACGAGCGGCTTCAATGGCAAAGTTTTCTCGCAAGCTTTACTGTTGTCGTGGGTCCTGGAAAAATTCGCGAGAGTTTCCCCCTTCACACAAGCTCAAGTTCTTGTTGGTTTTCGTCCACATTCTCTCGAGCGCCAAACGCCAAGAGACACGAGACACGTTTAAAACGTAGACCCGTTGCAGCCAAACGCGCACAGCCAGCACCCAGCACCGGCGCCCGGCACCCTGTCTCCACGCGCCCAGCCAACACCCAGCACCAGCACCGGCACCCTGCCTCCACCACGTGCACAGCCAGCTCACAGCACCAGCACCCAGCACCGGACGCGCACCAGCACCAGCACCGGCACCCTGTCTCCACCACGTGCACAGCCAGCACCCAGCACCGGCGCCGGCGCCCTGTCTCCACCACGTGCACAGCCAGCTCACAGCACCAGCACCGGCAACCTGTCTCGAAAGCGCACAGGCAGCTCATTGTTGTTTGGAGTAAGAACCCCATAGCTTCGCTATCTGGGGAAAAAAATACTGTCCCCCGGTTCAAGAACCAAGCGTTTTACCCTGAGAGGACAACTCCGAAAGCATAGACAAACCAACGAAGCGCGCCGTGTCGATAGAACGAAACCACGATCCCAAGCGGCATTGCGCAGTGTCGAGACCGCCGAGAAGTCCAAGTCATCTAAACCTCAGAGGAGATGGAATTTGTATGACTCTCGGAGAAATGGAAGCATATCTAGCATGTCAGCAGCCTTTTCTCGACATGAGCATGCTAGCATGCTAGACGTTCTCAGACTATGTCCGAATTGGGGCCTCCCGGCCTCCCGTCCTTTCCAAGCACTGTACTACGGGCTATCATTCAGAGTATGCTTCTGGGGAGTGTCCCATATTCCAAGTGAAAACTACAAGTTTGAGCTCGACTGAAAGGCTGAAAAATATGGAGAGGACCTTCGGCCTTCGAAAATAGCTTTAATGTTTATCAGTCCTCCAAACTCCACCAACCACCCTTTTGATGTCCCAGTTTCAGGAAGTGCGGTTTCATTTCTATTTGAAAAAAGAAAAGGAATCACACCCGTTTCTCCCAGCCAGGGCCAGGGTGTCCCAGGTGTTCCCGGATTATTTGGAAATGTAGACTCTTGAGGATATTTCACCCCCCCCTATGAAGAGGATGTCGACCAATTTGGGGGGTTATGGTCCTCAAGAGTCTACATTCGGGAAATCCCGCGCAACCGATCCGAAAAGGCTGAGCAACGAAGCCAGCGGACGTCAAAGGCCCGGCCGAAGCCCTGGAAGACCTCCGGTGAGAAGGTCCAGAGGTCCGTGTGGTGTGTTGGTTGTCCAAAGAAAGGAAGGATGTCAAGATACATTCTGTAGGTCCTGTGTCAATCCTGCAATCATGAATAGTCATGCGGCGTTGATCCTGCGATGATCTTTTTGTTTCTTGTTTATTCTGGTTCGTTTTTGGTTCGGTTTTCTCTGACATCTTCAAGTTCTTTTTTAAGTTATATATATAATGTGATCCTTGCTACTACTGTACTTAGGGTTCAAAGCTAATTACTTAGTTGAAAGGCTTCTCAGCTTCAACCAGACTTCGTCCGCACAGTCACGGTTTTGGTTCGGTGGGTCATACTGAGTCAACACCAAACGCGAATCGGGAAGGATTCACAAAAGTCCTCCAAGACTAGAGAGCTGGAGAGGTTTGCATTATTTCATACTGCTGTTCTGTTCATCTGGTGTCATTCACGGGTACAAACAATCCCATCTCATCTGATCCCCATTTTGCCCAAAACACATCAGTGGATCGGCTGCCAACTTCTGACAGCATCTTGGCGTAGCCCTGGAAGCAGCCGCTACCCGTCACCTGGGCAGCGGTGGGTTTGCCCGGCACCATTCGTTTCGTTGGTGAATGAATTGTGCCGAAATAATCCTTGCACTTTGGAGTAGAAAAGTTCCTCGAAAGGCGCACGTGAAGCCTTTGGGGGCCACAGCCATGCTGAAAAACATTGTCAAAATTCACGCTCAACAGGGACTGAAGTGGGAGGTTACTATCTGCCACAAACCACCAAACGACACCAAGTGAGACCCAATCAAAAGTGGAAAACAGAATGCTACAAGCTGGTGAAAGGCAGTGAAAGGCAGGGTCTTAATTCTGATATTAAAACAAAATATTTACTGTATGTATATATATATATATATATGTACATGTGGATGGTACACATGCATATCGGTGCGCGTGTACAATATGTGCTGTTGATTTGCATGAGGTCTTCCCTAGTCTTCCGAATTATGTGTCATCATCATGGAGTAATTCCTCTTCAGGGGTGAGGTAATTCGTCCTCCGGGGTGTTCATCTTCACCGAGATATTCTGTTGTATGCGTCTGCGCACGCAGGATTCGAGGGATCGGCTGAGCTGGGAAAAATAGAAACTAAAAAAACATCGAAGCATTCGACCGTTTCATCTCGCAAGCCAATGGGCACATCGACTATACCATGAAGATCAAGAATCCTGTCAAAACCTGGTTGTCCGCCCCAAACACTATTGGAGACACCAGGCAAGATTAGGAATGCCACAGGTTCACCCTCCCTGGAGAGAGGGGCTCGGGCTCGGGGGAAGATGACGCAAACCTCTTGGAAAAAGGCTTGAGAATCTGAGTGAAATCCAGCCGTGGATTGAACAGGTAAAAAAAATAAACAAAATTTCTCCGCGGATCTTGGACTCAACGAGCAGAAAAGCAGCCCCCTTCGGGGTTCGAAGGGTCCAAAGCCATTGAAGAAAACCTCCGTGCCTTGGCGGCGTGGTTTTTGCTTACCCCGGTGGAGGTTTGGGTGTGTTGGATCCCCTCCAAAAGGTGAGATGAAGCACCTCCAGTCCGCCAAGTCCGGTCTGCCAGGCGACAGAGAAGACTAAGATCACATGAGACGCACTTTGGAAAGCTTCGTTGAGTTTCTCCTGGTTGTTGCGTGGCGTGGCCCAGACTTGGTGCTCAACGGACAAAACGATGTTCTTGTGGCTGCTACTCTTCATGACAAAGTACCTCGACCGCGGACCGACGATCCATTCGCGCCGCTCTGGCTCCAAGATCCGCATCTGGGGCTTCGGGTCACAAAATCGGAAAGGCGTCCGGAAGATGCTTCGGGTCCGCCCAAAACGGAAATTTTTCAAGCCGGCGTCTCCCACAACCGGGGCCCCCACCAAATCTATGGTCAGGTCAAAAATAATCAAAACATCTTCCAAAGACATATGGTTTGAAGGTGAGGAGGAGGAAGGAGGAGAAGAGCTCTGATAAAATCTATATAGCAACCCTCACCTGGCAGGTGAGGAGACAAACACACGCCAACCTATATACTCACAACACACACTTAGATCCATGCTCGCAAGAGCTAAATCAGCTTGGAAGTTCCACTCTAGCGATTACATTACCGGCTTAGAGCGAAGGGCAACCTGAGACCTGACAAACAGCCCCGAGAGGGAACGGCAAGGTGAGTAAGTCCGAAACAATATTGCTTACATCGTTTGATCTAAAAATTAAAGGAAAATGCGCAGGTACGTTTACACCCAGGTGGGGGGCGTCTTCGTTGGCTGGAGACCTCCCACCTGGCTCCGGCCCCCTGCTTGACTGTACAGCTCGAAAACTAGAGGGGTTAAGGTGGAATTGAATCAATGTGGTCGTGCTCCTTGGAAACAGGAGTTGACATACTTATTGAAATGCGTACTGACTCGAATGCCGCTCGCCACACGGCAACCTAAGAAAACCAAATCCTGAAAAAAACAAGAGGGGAGCCTGAGTACCTGTAGTTAAAGGCCAGAAATCAAACTCCACGGTACGACGAACCGACGGGATGATGGCGTTCGCTCATGTCTGCAGAGTGCATTAGCGCTGTATGGAAAATTGGAGTGACAGCTTGTTCAAAAGTTCAAAAGAGCAGGCGCGTGCAGCTGATCAGGCTGCATATCCTGAGGTCACCATAGAGAGCTTCGTTGGGCACCCTCCTGTGCCCCCCTGCTGAAAAAGGAGGAACACTCCAAAAGGAACCTTGTGACTCCACAGGTTACACACACACAAGTTTCCCCGAGGGGAGGCAAGAAACACTAAGGCCAGGGCGAAAGTGTAAGTGCGTGCGCAGCAAGACAAAAGAATGAAGACATGAAAAGGGGACAAGACAGGAAAAAGGTGTGCGTGGTTGCGATGAAAGGGAACCAAGTGCACAGACAACCGACGAAAACCCACCTCATTGTAAAGACCTGGGCGACCTGAAACCTGTGTTGAAAGTACGTGTAGATGTGCAGGTACACACTAAGGCCAGGACAGATGTGCGCGCAAACGAAAGAAAGGATGAGATGAAGAGACATGAAGACAGGAAGACATGAAAGAAAAGAGGAGAAAAAGGTGTGTGAAGGGGAAACACGATGAAAAACGGGGAACCAAATGAAGGGGACAAAAACCGATGAAAGCCAAACCTCATTGAGAACCTGTTGCAAAGACCTCGTTTGAGTGTAGGTACACTGCGCATGAGGGATGGAGGGGTGGGGAGAGAAGAGAGAAAAGAAAACGACGGTGCTCCCAGCTACGACACAAGCGTCCAAGGACTCAAGGACACACCAAAAGAGGAAGAAAAGGGTTCCCAGCTAAGACGAAAGCATCCAGGGACACCCAAGCAAGAAGGAAGGGGAAAGAGAAAGAGAAAAAGAGAGAGAGAGACGAAGAAGGAAGGAGGAGGAGAGAAGAGGAAGAAGGCAAATGTTCCCAGCTACGAACAAGCGTCCAGGGACACACCAAGGAGAGGAGAGTACCTGAGTGTTACATTCAGGAACACCCCAAAAGGCAAAGAGGGAAGAGGGGGAAGGGTAGGGGAAGGACGGGAGTTAAGGTCCCGACAGGTTCCAATGAACCTTGAACAAGCTTTGGTCGCTGCGACCACGTTGTGGCGTGCCCGAAGGCTGCCTACTCAAATTCAATACTTCGGCAAATGTTCGTTCAACGGGTCGACAGGGGCCACTCTGCGGGGTCACCCTGTTTTTACGAGGAGCTGACACACTTATTGAAATGCGTACTGACTCGAATGCCGCTCGCCACACGGCAACCTAAGAAAAACAAATCCTGAAAAGACAAGAGCTATGCTCAAAGCGAGGGTATCACACAGCACACCACAGTGGGACGATGCTGCGGCACACACTTAGATCCATGCTCGCAAGAGCTAAATCGGTTTGGAAGTTCCACTCCAGTGATTACATTACCGGCCTAGAGAAACAGCCCTGAGAGGGAACGGCAAGGTGAATAGTAAGTCCGAAACAATATTTTTTACATCATTTGATTTAAAAGTCAAAAGAAAATGCGCAGGTACGTTTACACCCAGGTGGGGGGTGTCTTCGTTGGCCGGAGACCCTTCACTTGGCTCCGGCCCCCTGCTTTGACTGTACAGCTTGAGAACCTCGAGGGGTTAAGGTGGAATTAAATCCATGTGGTCGTGCTCCTTGGAAGCAGGAGTTGGCACACACACACAACACCATTCTCTCCCCTGGCACTATCTGCAAACATTCTCTCCTTGATGTTTGCTTTGTGAAAACTGGTCATGTGGGGTTAAACTCCTGTTTGGGCGCATATGCTCAAGTACCTGAAATGTGTCTATCGTTCATCTATGGTTCAGTCTATGGGGTGGGCTTGGACAATTCAAAGTTTGAGAAATTCGCGTGTATATAGTGGTTGCAAGCCCCGCGCATCCTTTGATTTCTCAGCCCAACGACTTCAGAAAATCTGAAAAATTACTAAGGGCAATGATTCTGCACCTACCTCCTGAAATGCGAGTCTGTGCAGCGAGAACGAGGCTAGGTACCTCTCGCCTTTCAGAAGCAGAAGTGCTGAAAAAAACACACTGGAAACACTGCCAAGACCAGTGTTCTTTGATAGAAAAGCTAGACCTCTCGGTGTCCACCTCGCCTGTCCCCCAACAACCCGTCCCTCGCCTGGTCTCAGGATCATTGTGGATCTTCGAGGCCGGCCGCGAGGCCCTCGCGCGCGAACCGGGCGGAGTGGGCGGCGCCGCGTTCACCGGCTTCGCGGGGATCTCTTTGATCACCTTCGCCAAGAGGCGCGTCACGCGCGCCGATCGACGCAGAGCGACGACCAACCCGGCGGGGCCCGGAAGAGAGCCGGAAATATCGGATCTGGTGGAAGAAGCGGGACGTTCTGGGCGGTGAAGCACGCACTTATAGAAATGCGTACTGACTCGAACGCCGCTAGCCACATGGCAACCTAAGAAACCAGAATCCTGAACAACCAGGTAATGAGGCCTGAGAGCCTGCAGTGAAAGGCCAAAAGGTCAACTCTACGAAGCGACGACCAGGTCGAGATGACGGCGTTCGTGCACATCTGCAGAACTCACTAGCACTTTACCAGAAAATTGGAGTAACAGCTTGTAAACGCCATAACCATGCAGGTACGTCGGAGTGATCAGCTCCGATATCGTCCCAACTCATGAGCAGCTTCGTTGGCAGTAGACTCATGAGTGGGCTACTGCCCCCTGCATAAACTTCAATCGGCAACAAAACACATTCCAACAGGAACCTTGTGACTCCAAAGGTTACACACACACACACGCCCCCCGGAGGCGAGAAGTACTAAGGTCAGGGCAAAGGTGTACGGGGGGTGAAGACATGAAGAGGAGACAAGACGGGACAAAGGTGTATGTGGTTGCCATGAAAGCCAACAAGTAGCGTTGTCGGCGCTCACATATGAACTAGAATCCTGGCCACATCGAATCGAACAAAAACCCGTTCAACTACACCATCCGGTGCCCGTATGCTTTTGACTTCTTCGACCATCAAGACAACACACTGGATTGCGAAAGCATTTGGTTTCAGACACTATCGCCCGAGATCAAACAAAATGCTCTGCGTAAGGCAAATACCTGCACCCTCGACATACAACAACTACGCAAATGTTAGCCACACTCGGTGACATATGCTCTGCTCATGCAAACATTGGCAAGTCCCGCTGAATGCAATGTATCAAGAACATTGTTCCCAAAGAAATTCAATAGAACAAATGCACTGAAAGCGCCACACCATCAAAAGAACAAATGCACTGCAAGCGCCACGCAAACAAACTCTCGATCTCCTTTCGCTGGGTACATTTTGGGGCATTGCCGTTCTGTCAGGTCTGTACGCTCGCCTTGCTCAGAATGACTCCTAGCCATTCAAAGAACGCGGCAACTTTGATGGAACACAACCACTGATGGAACACAACCACCAACGAATGCATTTTCGTAAACACAAGGGCTCTTCAACTGGTATTGTCCAGTTGCGCTATCTCAATGCGGGCTCATTTTAAACACTGGAGTGGTGGAAGGCATGTAGGGAACAGATTTGAAACAAGTTCACGTCATACTGTGAGGACATCTTCAGCGTTGCCAGCTTATAGAAAAGTTCCAAGCATTGCCTTTGACGTCTTGTTACCTATAGACCCCTCTTCGGCAAAGGAATGCTGCACGATATCCTGATCGAAATCAACGCAAACAATCCAAGCATGAACGAAACGTCGTGACTTGACGGTGGCTACATGTGGGACTGTGAAAACAATGCCCAGTTCTGGGCACCACAATCTCCAAAGCAACTCTTCCATCTGTACACTTGATGATCGTTCCATCGAATTCTCGGTCTGGGCGCATGCATGGCAAACTGTGACAGTCCTAGCACGCCTAAAAGATCCAAAAAGTTCATGGGCCACGATCGAGATCACACTCACATGAGCGCAATCATAAACTCATCCATCTTTCTCTTTCTCTCACACTTTGCTTCTGTCGGCCGATCAAGCTTGAACCAAAGATCTCACCAGATGTACGTATCATCCGTCTCTATCTCTCGGCTCAAGCACCTGTGAAACACTTGAAACAAGGTCTGAACCAACGCTTGATTGTATACTCCACTGGCATTGTATTTTGGCATGCCATTCGCACAAACATGTTCCACGCTTCTCACGCAGAACCTTGGCCACCTCCGGTCTTGAACTAATCAACCTCTAACGGAAAGTCCTTTCGTCTCTGGTGATGAACACAGACGCGGAAGTGCTGTGAAACGCTTCTGGGGTGGGGAGAACATGCGAAGCCTGTGGAGGATCTTCCAACCCCAATACGCACACTTCTCTGACAGCTCAAATGATCAATCATGCCCTAATCCAAGGATACGCTTCGCGTTTTTCAACTAGAGGGCAGCGCTGTGAGCGTGTGTATTTTCCAGTAAAATTAGCTATTAGGTGTCCAGTAGAGAAACTTTGCCACATGAAATGCATGCTCACAGTGCTGCTGTATGTTCTATGAGACTCTATGTTTTATTACAGAGCGTCTTCAATGAATGAATGCTTTACTTTTGTAAAATATAGTATTGAATGCCCATGAAATTTATATAATGTTTAAAAAGATGCATCTGATTGAACTTTTAAATTGTCTACTCAAATTATGGCTTCATATTGGATTTCTCTACTGTACAAAAAAAGACAATATTTTAAATATATGAAGCCTTTTAGCTTGTCATATCCCGTTAGTTAGGTGGCCTATATGTCTCCAGAGGATTTGTCTTTTGTATTTTTGCTATTTTTGGTACTTTTGATATGATTGGTATTTTGTGTATGTTTGATATTTTTTGTGTTTTTTGTATTTTTGATATTTTTGGTATGTCTTTGGTATTTTGGGTATTTTTGATATGTTCGGTATTTTGTATTTTTTGTATTTCCTCTAGGTCTTTTGTATTTAATATATTTTTGGTATGTTTGATATTTTTTGTATTTCCTCTAGGTCTTTGGAATTCACATTTTCTCACGTGCATAGGAAATACTTAAATTTTTGAGATTTTCCTCTGCATATGTAACACTGAAAAATACACACGCTCACAGCGCTGGTTTCTGTTTTCAAAAGGTCCGTGAACAACTGTCGCTTCCGTGAGCGCTCCTCCGACTTCTCATATTCGTGAGAATGAACTCCCCCCGGTGCATGGCAAAGATGAGTGAATCCATACCTTTACACTTGAACCTACCGATCCCAAGGCTTCCGAAAGTGCAAGAACAGTTGGCTCTTTCTCAAATCAACAGCTTCGGTCACCCTCCAGGCATGATGACCTTCCTTTGTCATCCACTTTGAGGACAAGACGCTATCCTCTTCACAGCAAAGCTCAACAAGCAAAAATTGTGTTCCCATTGGAAGCCCGAAGATAGTCTCTGTCACGCTCGAAATCAACACCTCTAACTGCTCGTCTTTCGAATCTTTCTCAGACCCGTCTTCACCAACAACACCCTTTTCCACGATCACTTCGCGATCTGCTTTCGGCTTTGAACTTGGCGAACTCGATGATGTAGACACACTCTTCTTTTTGCTATTCTTTTGATCCGTCATGCTTAGGTCTAGGTCAAAAGGCTTGCGCGTAGCAACAATCCCGAGATCCTTCCGATATCCCATTTGTGTCAGTGCATCAAGCACTTTGGTCAATGTGTCACTTGGATTCTCACTTCCTTTCACCCACAACAAGCGAAGAATACCCCGGCCGATCACGTGTTGCAAAAACTCCCAACGAATCTCGGCATGCCTCAACCGCCTTTGGACATCCATTCGGTGTGAAATGAATTGCTTACCTCCGACACCTTTGCCTTTGCTTTTCCCTTTTTCTTTTTCTTTGCCCTTAGTTGCGTCTCTTAGCAGCCCTGTCAACATTTCTTCGCCTGACCTTCTGAGAGAATTCAAAAGGCTGAGCAGCATTCTTTCGTTTCCTCAAGAGTTTAGCACTGGCTTGGACGGCAACACGACTAGAATCACGTCTCGGATGCTTCGTCTTATAATGGTGAGCCACCGCCTTCTCATGATCCCAATTGGCCAACTGGGATGTGTGGTGACTGGAATGGTGCCTGCGATGGTGTCGGAGGTGGAGTTGGGGTGGGGTGGGCATTGCCGATGGTGGTGTTGGTGGTACCCTTGGTGCCTGAACAGGTGGGAAAGCTGAATAAGGCGCGGATTGCCAAACACCTTGAACTGAATCCGAATGGATGGTCTGTGGCGGCTGAGCGGGCTGAGATGGTGGTGGTGTATGGTGTGGCCGTGACAGGTATGGCTGCAGGTGGTTGTGATCACTGTGATACTCGGTTCACAGGTCATTGGTGGGTTGGGGTGCATGTATACTGGGACCTGTGCCATTGGAAAAGGCTGGTGGCATGATGGGCTGTGTTGTGCCAAACAGAGTCTGTGGCGGGCAGCTTGAGTGTGGAGCTGACATGTCCGGTGGTTGCGGCTGCAGATGTGGAGGTGGGTTGGTCTGCGGCGGCGGCTGTAGCTGCGGCTGTGGATGTGGAAAAGGCTGTGGTAGTAATGGTGGCATGGTGGCCTGTGTGGTTGGAGGTGGATAGGCTGGCTGTGTTTGCGATGTCTGTTGGAGTGTGGGCGGGTATGGCCAAGGGTACTGCATATTGGCAACGCTCTGTTGTCGTCTGCACTCTGTGCGGCTGCCAGCAGCAGAGCGGCGCTGCACGGGATGGTGAAACTGAAAAGGCACGGGGCAATGATCGCGTCTTGAACGAGTGAAAGTCTGATGCAAAAGTCATGTCTGGAACTGGTTGGTCATGAAATGAAAAGTGAACATCAAAAGTCACATGAATGCAGGCATAGAATTCCAGTGATGATTCACCGTGTGCTCGGCAGCATAGTGCTCAATTGATTCGTGAAAAAACCACTGAGCAGAAATCGGCTTCCAGTGGAGAAAACACAGATTCAGTGAACGAATTCCGGAGTGGTCTCGGCGCCCCTTGCGGGGATCACACTGCACACCCAAGTGGGAAGATGCAGGTGAGGGAACGTACCAACCAGTCGAAGTTCAGTTAAGCAATGCGCTTGACTCTAGGAGTTAGTTAGTGCAAGCCGCAAGGATGCTGGGTCGGTAAACTTGAAGGTGTTTGAACAATGCAAAGCAAAAACTCGCGCAGCAGCTCATCAGCAGGTGGGAGAAGAAGAAACCTACGATACCGGGAAAAATAGCCTGCAAGAGGGTGGACCAGCGGAGTCAGTGTGTTGTCAAGCAGGTACAGGATCAAGCGTCCTTGATCCCTTCCCATCTGTGATCTTAGCTTCGTTGCGTGCATTAGATCACAGATGCTGCACGTCCCTGCTGAAACTGAAAAGGTGGAGGACCCCTGGGGACGGGGTGTGGTTCACACACACACACACATGCAACGATTGAGCTTGAGCGCATCGGCACCAATGGATTGGAGAGACAGAGCTTGTCAATGCTTATCTCATCACTGATTAGTACATTGCAGTATACACATGCTAAATCGAATCGAAGAAAGGAACATGGGAATATCCTGTCTGAGAGCTTTTCAGCACCAGCACCATGTGGAGCTTGATGATTTGGTAGGAGCTACAGTGGTTCATCTCACGCAGTCCAATAAAAAACACCAAATAAGGTGCCTCGACATCCTTCACCTCTTTGTGAATGATGACATCCACCTCATCATCGTCGCCCCAGTCGCCCTCTTCGGCTGCAAATCTCAAATCCATGGCCTTGAGGTGATGGTGAACTACCTTTGTAAGGCCATTTATGGTGAACTACAGTACTACCTTTGGTTCTCTTGAGATCATGATGATGATGATGATGATGGTGGTGATGATGATGATGATGATGATGATTGCTGTTGTTTCTCAAGAGAACCCAGCACGATATCCTTCTAGCTAACAAATTCTTTGCTTACTCCCCTCCAGAGCAGCGCTGTATTGCAGCTACCTTCAGGTCGGATGGCCAATTCACCCAGCGGAAGGCTCTGCGGCTCTGTTGCTCTATCCTTGGAAAAATTATTCTGCAACTGTCACTGGGCGAGAACAGATCTGCCTTCGGATTTCTTCGACCCCACTTCAGAAAGAAAGGAGTAAACCACTTTGGATTTGATGTAAATCTATTCCACTTCAGGAACCGAACCATCCACCGTCCCTTCCACCTGGGGGAACTGCTTGGCTGGGTGAAACTCATCGCCGTGAGCGGAGCCTTCGAGGTGAAACCAACCCAAGGTGGTCACTGGGAAGTTCAAGACCACTCCCGCGAATCATCTGCTTGAAGAGATCTGAAAACAAACCCAAGCCCTGTTATATCACCAAATCCTGCTTGTTGGGAGAGCATGGCCATGGCTTGATTTTGGCATGCCAAACAGACCATGTAACAAGGCCCTAGCACCGACAAAGCCGGTCGATCGCGTCGGCCGGGCAGCGGAGCGGCGTCGCGTCCCGAACAGGGCAAGAACAGCCTCCTACCAGGACCCCTGCTGAACGAGCGAAGGGCGTCTATTTCTTTTAAGGTCCCTGAAGCGATGCAGACTCGCGAGGAGTCATCTTTTTCAGTTTGGACTGCACTGATTAGATGGCCCCCAGAGAATTCTGCGAGAGAACTGCAGAAGCTCTGAAGAAAAGACCCTGTGACTGTTGCATGTCTATCTATCTGTGTGCCGATTAAGCCCGAAAATGTCGTTGATCAGCTTCGCCATACTTGCCTAGTTCCATCCAGAAAGCCTCATGATTACAAAAAAGAGACAACCGTCTATGGAGACCTCCATTGCTATGGACTTCAATCTCACTCTTCATTCTGCTCCTCCTTCGGTTCTGCCATCCCTGTCCCGTTAACGTGGCTGCGAAGGGGTACTTGGCATTCGGTGGGCTGTGTCTTCTCCATCGGAAGTATCGAAAGGAACCCCGAGGCACCAAGCAACCCCGAGGTCTTTGGCAATGTCCCGTGATGTTAGAGACACCACGAAAGAAAGAAAGAAAGAAAGAGAGAGAGAGAGAGAGAGCAAGTCCAGGTCAGGTCAGAATTCTCAACATGGTCACCCAGGGCGCTTGGTGGTGAACATATACACCCTTTAAAATTACCATGGAACCTGAAAACTACTGGGTTGTAGAGGAAAATAGTCCATTTTCAGGTTCCATGTTAATCTTCCCGGGTGCAATTAAAAAAAAGGAGACCTCTTGCAGACCCCGTCTTGTGGAGACCAACGCAGGTGCGGAGGAACCTCCGATGCCTGTCCCCCACTGACTGGGGCACGGATGCCGTGTGAAGTCTCTAACGATACCGCCCGATACGGTTGATCGACCCTCATAATAGGTCACACTAGAAGTGATTGTTGCTTGTTTTCTTGGTACACAAATAGTCGATCTACAACTTGACGGTGTTCCCGGCAAAGGATCTTGCCCAATGAACTGTCTTGCGTTTCGAACACTCAGATGGGTCTTTGAGATGCATCTAGGCAGACATGAGCCTCCCATATTCACACTGGGGGCTTCGTTGAAGAGATATATTATATCTACAGTATATATATATATGTATGTCTTGGCCCCCGTACCCGTACCCCTTCAAAATTTCTTCACGAGGTTTTGACCCACAAGCTCCCCATGAAATTGACACATCATGCAAACGCTCGGTTTGTCTGCGCCTCCAAACTGGCTGTAAGTGCTCTGTGGGTAAGGCCTTAGAGCTGGAGGCTTGGGAAATTGATCTAACCCAATATGTCCACCATGGGTGACAGGGACCGTGGCCTCCTGCTTGAACTGAAAGAGCCCTCCATGGTCCAGTTCGGTGAAAAGACCAGGTCCGACTTCAGATCACTTCTTCCCCACCAGAGCCTTGTGCTGGAGCCCTGCAGATCTTGAGGACTCCCCGCCCGCAACGTCCAAACCACTGGTGAGTGACAACCGCCGTTCGTTGGGTATAGAGATCATGTGTGGGTCAGCCTGGTCAGCCAGACGTCCTGCTTTGTGTCTGCCTCCAACAGCTGGACCACGCTTTGAAGTCCGACCCTGAGTCGACCACTGCTGTGTAGAGGAAGCGTTAAACCCACTGCATGTTTCAGGTTCCACTGAAACCGTACCTGGGGGGGACGGGCAGTGGGGAGTACACTCCCTGGAAATAATCACGGTGACGTGGGTGGCGACCCTGGGATGACCATGTTCCTCTACAAAACCAGGTGGTTTTCACTCCGCGCAACCATGATTCTTGCAGGATTCATGGTATGTCTGCCGCGGCGCCTCCACACCGGTGAAGGAGTGTGCTCGTGGGTGCCCCAACGATGAGGTCGCTGAGGCCCGACTCTTGCTGGGCGTGGCCTTTTTCCGTGACCGTTTCGGTGGCCGTGAAACGGTGGCGGAACGGGGGGGAAGCACCGAGTCGACCTGTAGCGCTGACATGAGATGAATGTGAACAAAAGGAAGCTCTGCCCGAAATGAACACCCAAATGCATTCTCCTGAGAAAGCTGGGATCCGTCGGGGGCTGGCGAGGGGTTGACAGGAGTTTGGGCAGCTGGCGGATGAGGTTCTGGGGGTTGAAGGACCCTCAATGCAGGATGGCTGGGGATGGGATGCCAACATCTGAAGGTACAGCAAGATAGATGTCATCCTCTACGGTTTTCTTGTGAAATGCATGTAAAGCCCACACACCCATGCCATCCACCCTTACCAGCAAGAGTTTTGTTGGGACTTCTGCGGCGGAGATGCTCCATTACATGCATGGTCTGATGCTTATCAAGGATCACATTATCACTAGCCACAGTCAACACATTATCACCACCATGCCATATCTCTGGCTGTTCATGACAGAAGAATCCTGCACCACCTGTGTCCTTTTCAAAGTGAGTGCCCCAAACCGCATGTATTGGCAAAACATGTGAATGTTCCAAACAAAATGTAGGACTTCTGTCTTCAGCTGCCGGAAGCTGCAAGAATCAAACCCCCTCAGCTTCGCTCGGTGGAGTGGAAGCTGTAGGCACCTGACCACTCCATCCGCGCTCGGCGCGGTGGGGGCGCGGCTGGTGGAGAAGCGGGGGGGGTCTCACAGACTCGTCGCCAAACCCATGGATCAACGTCTAGAGCCGGAGGAGCCGTTTTCCTAGGTAAAGCCCACTATGTAAAAGCCCAGTTTTTCTGTGGACCAAACAGGTGACCCTGTGGATGATGTGGCTGGAAGCTCTCGACATATTCTTTCCATATCAGCTCTTCAATGTGAGTTCCTGACCACTCTAAAAGTGATCCCCAAAGACTCTGTTACAAAAGAGGGTCACGACTCACTAGACGAACCTAATTACTTTTCAAGGGAGTGCTAGCATGGCTGCATGCGCCCAATCCTAAGTAGACCTCATCGCAGGTGTCCATGGCAGACGTCAATCAACTTCTTCCATGATCCACACGGGATGGAAAGACACCATCTGACTCCTTCCACGACTTGGGTCTTCGTCCGCTGAGCCGGCCAGACTTAAAGAAAGGAGAGGTCTTCAGACGACCGATGACCCCGCCTTCGGGCCAGGAGACGGCGCCCGGCCGGTAGGGACTGCGTCCTGGAACGGATTCCCGGAGGTCCCGGGCCAGGAGACGGAGTCGCCCGGAGCCGCGCGACGTCCAAGTGGGGAAGTCGTTTGGGTTGTTGGTATCATTGCTTGGAAGAAAAAACGGCCAACAAGATGGAGCGTTGTCTTCCTGAACTTCTAGCATGTCGCCCCAGCATGTCACCTGGAGCTTTGGTGCGATCGGCACATTCAATGCGTGTCTTTCCCAAAGAAAATGGGAGTTACCAAGAAGAACACCGCCTTCATCCCAATGACGCCGTATCTGAGGTCATCCTGAATATCTGGGGATTTGAACATTTTCCAGGTTCCTCACACCTGTTCTTGCAGGCAAAGACTCTAACCACAGCATTCATTCACATGTTTCAACCCAAGATCATACTCACCCCAAGATTGTCTGATGCTTTGGGTAGGAGGTTAGGTGTTGGGCCACTCCCTGGTAGTAAACCACCATAATTCTGTAAACCACTGTAAACCAATGTAAACCAACAACAACTTCTGGTATGGATCTGAACTCCCACCAACCCAATCTCTCAGGTGACTCTTGCTCACATCCAGGCTGCTGTCCGGATCATCGGCCCCCCCCACCCCGGACGACGGTTCAGCAGCTCCTGCACGGAGCTCGCGCTCGAAGAGCCCCGGCCGGAGCTCCTCGCGGGGCACCTGGAACACCACCCGCACAGTCCGGTGAGGGTCCTTTTTAACAAATGCCCGTGGGAAAATGTCCAAGCCAAAGGCGTGAACTCTCACGTTCAACTAACCAGTTCCAAGCTCGCAGACTTACGACTCGATGGTCAGCCATTGGCTTTGCTGGATGTGCATCTTTCTGGCTTTCAGTCTATCTTCCTTTGCAAACCACCTTGCTCTCTGTCCAAAAACCTTCTCCTCGTGTGCCCCCGAGTTGGACACCTCGATCCAAGGCTCTGACCGATGGGCTCTTCCGACGGGGCCTGACGAGTAGGAGGCATGGCAGTGGGGGACAAGCCCGGTGAAGAAAAGAACAATGCAGGATTCCTTTAGCACATGCCAAAGAACATGCCTTTGTTGCATGTGAAAAAAGTAACTAAGTGGAGTCTACACGTTAAAAGAATTGATAAAACAGGCCTTTGTCGCCTTCAAATACAAGGATATGTGCCATCTCCAAACTTCGGGGACTTTCCAAACCGACGGCTTGGGACTTGTCT